AACCGGGACTGAACAAGGAGTAAACCTGGTCTAAACTCGGTCTGTTCAGGCCCGTCAGAACGCGCAGCAGAAGCAGCTGAACGCTGAAGAGTCTCGGCGAGAATACGAGACGAGTCTGAACCAGTTCAACCAGGATCAGGTCCAACACTACAGGACCCTGGTCCCAGTCATCTACCAGGTACGGGAGGGCATCTGACTTTGTGTGTGTGTGTGTGTGTGTGTAACGGGAGGGCATCTGGGTGTTTCAGAGGATCCAGGAGATGGAGGAGCGGAGGATCGAGCGTGTGGCCGAGACGATGAGGAGCTGCGCTGAAGCCGAGAGGAAGATCTTACCTCAGACCTCCAGATGTTTGGATGGACTCCTAGAGGCCGCCGCTCGGATCCAACCCAGACAGGTCCTGGATCAGAACCGGGACTAAACAAGGACTGGACCAGGACTAAACCAGGACCAGGACCAGACCAGAGACCAGCACCAGAAAGCTCTGCTCTTCTGACCTTCTGACCTTCTGACCTTCAGGACACGCTGGAGGTGGTTGAGGTTTATAAGTCGGGCTTCGATCCTCCAGGAGACGTGGAGTTTGAGGATTACAGCGCCACCATCAGGCGCAGTGTGTCCGAGTCCAGTTACCTCGACAACCGCAGCGAGGGGCGGAGACACGGCAGGAAGCTGTGGCCCTTCATCCGCAAGAACAAGGTACTGAACCAGGACTGAACCGGGACTGAACTGGGACTGAACCAGGACTGAACCGGGACTGAACCGGGACTGAACCAGGACTGAACCAGGACTAAACCAGGACTGAAACAGGACTGAAGGTGAGCAGGTCTCGTCTCGGTGTCTTGTTGGGACCCAGAGGGAGGACACTGGCAGCAGTATCATGGGCTAGAGTTGGAATCAAGACCGCACTGCTCAAGACCAAGAACCAAGAACACAGGGTCCTGAGATCGAGACAAGACCAAGACCACGGCTCATCAAGTCCAAATCAATACCATCATTGTCATTTTCAATATTTATTTGTATTTTACAATTATTTTGACACATTTATATCAATACTTACTGGTCTCTAGGGACAGGACACACACTGTGGTCTCTGGGGACAGGACACACACTGTGGTCTCAGGGGACAGGACACACACTGCGGTCTCAGGGGACAGGACACACACTGCGGTCTCTGGGGACAGGACACACACTGCGGTCTTTGGGGACAGGACACACACTGCGGTCTTTGGGGACAGGACACACACTGCGGTCTCTGGGGACAGGACACACACTGCGGTCTCTGGGGACAGGACACACACTGCGGTCTCTGGGGACAGGACACACACTGCGGTCTTTGGGGACAGGACACACACTGCGGTCTCTGGGGACAGGACACACACTGCGGTCTCTGGGGACAGGACACACACTGCGGTCTCTGGGGACAGGACACACACTGCGGTCTCTGGGGACAGGACACACACTGCGGTCTCTGGGGACAGGACACACACTGCGGTCTTTGGGGACAGGACACACACTGCGGTCTCTGGGGACAGGACACACACTGCGGTCTCTGGGGTCAGGACACACACTGCGGTCTTTGGGGACAGGACACACACTGCGGTCTCTGGGGACAGGACACACACTGCGGTCTTTGGGGTCAGGACACACACTGCGGTCTTTGGGGACAGGACACACTGCGGTCTCTGGGGTCAGGACACACACTGCGGTCTTTGGGGACAGGACACACTGCGGTCTCTGGGGACAGGACACACACTGCGGTCTTTGGGGACAGGACACACACTGCGGTCTTTGGGGACAGGACACACTGCGGTCTCTGGGGACAGGACACACACTGCGGTCTTTGGGGACAGGACACACACTGCGGTCTCTGGGGACAGGACACACACTGCGGTCTCTGGGGTCAGGACACACTGCGGTCTTTGGGGTCAGGACACACACTGCGGTCTCTGGGGTCAGGACACACACTCTGGTCTCTGGGGTCAGGACACACACTGCGGTCTCTGGGGTCAGGACACACACTGGGGTCTTTGGGGACAGGACACACACTCTGGTCTCTGGGGAGGATTTAGTCTTTATAATGTTCGTTTATTTGTGTGTTTTTGTTTGTTTGTTTACAGCTGCTGACGCTGCTGTCGTCACCGCGGCAACCTCCGCCCCCTCCCCCCACCTCCCCCTCCCCCGGGGGTGTGGCCTCCAGCCCTCAGTCTCCACCCACCGCCTCCAGAGAACCAATCACAGCGCGACTCAATGACCTGATGTCGTCAGGCTCCAGGACCAGAAAACAGTGTCTGCGCAGCATCAAGAGAGGGGTCCGATACTACTACTACTACTACTACTACAAATACTACTGCAAATACTTCTACTAACACTACTACTACTACTACTAACACTACAAATACTACTGATACTATTACAACATACAGTATATTAGAATAAACAGGCTCCAGGACCAGAAAACAGTGTCTGTGCAACATCAAGAGAGGGGTCCGATACTACTACTACTACTACTACTACTGCTACTACTACAAATACTACTACTACAAATACTAATGCTAATGCTGATGCTGATGCTAATGCTAGCGTACACACTTTTCCTGTGTTTGTGTCTCTCCTCGTGTACGTCGTGTTTACACCTGTGTATGTCACAGTGGGCGGGGCTTCATGCTTGTGTCTCTGTAGGGAGGGCGGTGCGTTCATAAACAGGAAACAAATCATGCTAATATGCTAACGTGCTAACGTGTGCTAGCTTTGTTTTGCTAACATGTAAATAACGACAAAATAACGACTCATAAATAATATTCTCTCCCTCCTCCCCCTCTCCTCTTCCTCTTCCTCCTCATCTCTCTTCCTCCTCTTCCTCTTCATCGCAGCTTTCTCTCAAACTGGTGAGTTTTATTTGTTTATATTTTTATTTCTGTCCAGACTCTTGGTTTAAACTCATGTGTTTCTGTTAAACACATGTGTTTGTGTTAAACACATGTGTTTGTGTTAAACTCGTGTGTTTGTGTTGTTGTTGTTGTGTTTGTGTCAGAGCTCGAGTCCGGCCGACTGCAGCCACCTGCCCCCAGAACAACGACGCAAGAAACTCCAGACCCGGATCTGCTCCATCAGCCAGGAGATCCAGAGGGAGAAGGAGCAGAGGTAAGACCAGGACCGGGACTGGGACCAGGACCGTGTGTTTGTGTATTTATGTGTGTGTTTATGTATTTGTGTGTGTATTTATGTGTGTGTTTATGTGTTGCTGTAGAGACGCGCTGCTGAAGATGAGGGAGTTGTACGAGCGCAGTCCTCACATGGGGGAACCTGCGAGTGTGGAGCCCCGCCTCCAGGAAGTGCACCTGAGTCTGCAGAGGCTGGAGGACGAGCTACACAACAACCAGGTACATGACCTCTGACCTGTGGCCTCTGACCTGTGACCTCTGATCTATCATCTATAATCTGTCATCTGTACAGTACTAAAGATTTACACAACAACCAGGTACATGACCTATAATCTATAACACACATGCGCACACACACCAGTGGTCTCCCACACAAGTCCAGACCAGACCAATGTGACAAACTGTGATCGTTCGGTCAGGTGCCATTGCTGTGCCCCTCAAAGTGTCGTGTGCCGCACCACCGGACGCCACGGCAGGACTCACCTGGTGCCCACAAAACACCTGGTGCCTTCACAAACACCTGGTCCCCACAAACACCTGGTCCCCACAAACACCCGGTGCCCACAAACACCCGGTGCCTCCACAAACACCTGGTCCCCACAAACACCCGGTGCCCACAAACACCCGGTGCCCACAAACACCCGGTGCCTCCACAAACACCTGGTGCCCACAAACACCCGGTGCCCACAAACACCCGGTGCCTCCACAAACACCTGGTGCCCACAAACACCTCCACAAACACCTGGTGCCTCCACAAACACCTGGTGCCTCCACAAACACCTGGTACCCACAATCACCTCCACAAACACCCGGAGCCCACAATCACCTCAGCAAACACCCGGTGCCCACAAACACCTGGGGCCCACAAACACCTCCACAAACACTTGGTGCCCACAAACACCTGGTGCCTCCACAAACACCTGGGGCCCACAAACACCTGGTGCCTCCACAAACACCCGGTGCCCACAAACACCCGGTGCCCACAATCACCTCAGCAAACACCTGGTGCCCACAAACACCTGGGGCCCACAAACACCTCCACAAACACTTGGTGCCCACAAACACCTGGTGCCTCCACAAACACCCGGTGCCCACAAACACCCGGTGCCCACAATCACCTCAGCAAACACCTGGTGCCCACAAACACCTGGGGCCCACAAACACCTCCACAAACACCTGGTGCCCACAATCACCTGGTGCCCCACGACCTGTGTGCAGTCCTGCTCCTGGTCTCAGTCCCGGTCTCAGTCCTGGTTTAGTCACGGTCCCGGTCTCGGTCTGTTTCAGGTCTGGTTGTCAGAGACCGAGAGTCGACTGAACTCCACGCGACGTCAGAGCTGCGGAATCACGAGCGAAAAAGAAACGAAGAGGAGCAGGTGAGGATCATAACCAGACTAACAGGGGTCCAAAGAGAGGATCATAACCAGACTAACAGGGGTCTAAATAGAGGATCATAACCAGACTAACAGGGGTCCAAAGAGAGGATCATAACCAGACTAACAGGGGTCCAAAGAGAGGATCATAACCAGACTAACAGGGGTCTCTTCTCTCTCTGATTGACTCGTCTAACCCCGCCCCCTCTCTCTGATTGGCTCAGCCCGGACGGCAGTTACACGGAGGACCAGGGGGCGGAGCTTCAGTTTAAATCTCGGAGTTCAGAGTTTGACGACGACTTCGATGACGAGCCGCTGCCGAGTATCGGGACGTGTAAGAGTCTGTACGCCTTCCAAGGTACTAAGAATACTACGAGTACAACGAATACTATGAGTACTGCAAATACTACAAATAGTATGAGTACTACGAATACTACTACTATAACATTTTAAATATGAACACTTCTTACTTCTACAGCATTATGTTTAAGATACAAGTACCACAAATACTACTGTAGTACTTCTGTACTTCTACTGTAGTTCTTATACTGTAGTACTTTGTGTACTCAGGGCAGACGGAGGGCACTCTGTCGATGCGTGAGGGGGAACTACTTTCTGTGGTGGAGGAGGACAAAGGCGACGGCTGGACCCGGGTGCGCCGCAGCCTGGAGGAGGAGGGATACGTACCCACGTCCTACATCAAAGTGTTTCTGGACTCCAGCGCCGCAGGTGAGCGGGTCAGACCCGGGTCAGGGCCAGGTCAGACCCGGGTCAGGGCCGGGTCAGGGCCAGGTCTGGACCTTGTGTTACTTGTGCGTGGCGTTACTGATCCTGTCGTCTGATTGGTCACAGGTTTCGTTCAGAGCCGTTTGGTGTGAGACTCCGCCCGCTGCTCGTCTGGACCAATCAGAGCGCTCACGCCAGCCGCAGAGGGAGAAGTGGGCATAGCCGTGTTCGCGCCGACCAATCAGAGCCTTCATTTGTCTGTACATAAACCAATGGCTGCCTGACCCCGCCCCCGTGACCCCGCCCCTTGCGCTTCATTGGCTGTTTTTTATTTAAGGACGACCACTTCCTGTAAAGTTTCAAAATAAAAGCCTCTGCCTCAGACGGGTGTATGTGCCGCTTTAACCTCTGACCTCTGGGGTCGGAAAAGAAAACTACCACTTGATGACATCACAAGGTGGAAGATGGAGTTTTAGAGATGTAACAGACTCAGAATAAAGAAACACTCAAACAAACACAATTCCAGCTCTGAGTGTGAGTGATCATGAACATTATGAAACTACAAACTTATAATGAAAAAAAAAAAAGGTTTTCAAAAAAATTATGAACCAAAATAGAAAAAAAAAAGAAAAGAAAAAGGAAAAAGTAAAGAAAAAATAGGGGAAAAAATACAAGAACTTGAGAAGAAATGAATGAAAAATGACAAACACCAAAACACAAAAACACAACACAAAACAACAAAACACAACAACACACACAACAAAACAACAAAACACAACAACACACACAACACAACACACAACAACAAAACACACATCACACTGTATCTACACAACTGTACACAGAAACACGTGCGGTAGCTCATCTCGACAGGACTCCGGAGTGTCCGTCGGGAGGCGCTGTGACCAGAGTCCGGGGGTAAACCCACAGACAGCGGCTCTTCCTCCGCCGCTCCGCCGCTCCCGGAGCCTCTGAGCGCGGCCTGACTTCTCCTCTGCTCCCGCTCCGCTCCGGTCCGGTCCGGTTCTCTTCTGTTCGGGATGTTGACGCTGTACGCGGACCTCCTGTCGCAGCCGTGCCGCGCCGTGCGGATCCTGCTCCAGTGCACCGGGACCGCGCACGCGCTCCGCTCCGTGGCGCTGCGCAAAGGTCAGAACCGGGGGGACACACGGGGGGACACACGGGGGGACACACGGGGGGACACACGGGGGGACACACGGGGGGACACACGGGGGGACACACGGGGGGACACACGGGGACAGGGTTACACACGGGGACGGTCACGGTACGGTGGAGACGCGGCGAAGACGCGGTGAAGACGCGGTGAAGACGCGGCGTTGCTTTTGAACTTTGTCACGATAAATTTAGTCTTTTACTGCGTTAGATCCGGACTCCTAATAAAAGCGCGTTCCTTTAAGAACATTTGTACGTTCTGAGTGTGAACACGGGAAGGTAAACCCGCACTGACACCGGTCCAAACCCGCACACGACCCGGTGAAGAGTTCGGCTGCGGAGAAAATGGGTTAAATGACCCGTTTCATCCGGATGACCTGATTTAACCTGCAGGAGGAGCCGGTGAACTGTGCCCCAGTTGGAGAAGGAACTTTTATGTTCCTGTTTTCACTTTATCTTTTCTTCATCACACATGAACCCAGAGAAAACTGCAACATGAAATTTATTTTATGTGTTTATTTATTATTATTCTTAATATTATTATTATTTATTTGGATTATTCTCTATTGATCCTGTCAGTGACATTAGAAGATGATTTATTTATTTTCTGTTATTGTCAAACTTGTGTCTCTGAAGTTATTTATTTACAAATATTACGGGGGCAAAGGACAACAGTTCTATTTGGGAATTTACAACTATTATTATTATTATTATTATTATTATTATTATTATTATTATTATTATTATAGTGACTGTGGCTCCTGTGAACTTCATCTGACTGGAGCTGAACTCTGACGTCACTCAGGACACTTCCTTATATACTTACCTCTGACCCCTGACTTCTGACCTCTGACCTTTGACCCCTGACCTTTGACCCCTGACCTCTGCTGTTTCCTCCAGGAGAACATCTGACTCCAGACTTCTCCAAACTCAACCCCATGAACAAAGTCCCAGTGCTGGAGGACGACGGCTTCGTGCTCACAGAGAGGTCCTGAGAGTCCGGGTTTAGTCCTGGTTTAGTCCTAGTTTTAGTCCTGGTTTAGTCCTGGTTTAGTCCTGGTCCTGACCTGGTTCTGACCCGGTTCTTCACAGTGATGCCATCCTGAAGTACCTGGTGGGGCGCTGTGCTTTGCCCGAGCACTGGTACCCGACCGACCCCCAGAGCCGCGCCCGAGTCGACGAGTACTGCGCCTGGCACCACACCAACACCCGCCCCCACGCCGCCAAAGTATTTATACTGGAGGTACTACAAGTACTACAAGTATTACTACTACTACTACTACTACTACTACTGTTACTACCAGATCTGACCTCAGATCAAGCTCTGACAAGGACGTTCAGTCCTGGTTCAGTCCTGGTTCAGTCCTGGTTCTGCTCCCTCAGGTCCTGGTCCCGGCTCAGACCCGGTCTCCCGTGGACGGTCCGGCTTTAGCCCGGGCCCTGTCGGACTTGGACCGGACTCTAAAGCATCTGGAGTCGATGTTTCTGCGGCGAAAGGCGTTTCTGTGCGGCGATGACATCACCATCGCCGACCTGCTGTGTGTGTGCGAGCTCATGCAGGTACCAGCCAATCACACGGCGGGAGGGTTTAAACGGGCCAGTCACACGGCGGGAGGGTTTAAACGGGCCAATCACACGGCGGGAGGGTTTAAACGGGCCAATCACACGGTGGGAGGGTTTAAACAGCGGCGTGTTTATGTCTCATGTGTTTGTACAGACGTGTCTCTCTCTACATCTGTTACATTTACACACACGCACACACACATATACACACACACCCCTACACATGCACACACACACACACACATACATACACACATACACACACATACATACACATGCACACACACATACATACACACATACACACACACCCCTACACATGCACACACATACACACACATACATACATACACACACATACACACATACATACACATTAACTTCTTAGGTTCTTTTTAAAGACAATGCAGTAAAGTGTATTTACCTTGTTGACATGTTTCAGCTGCAAGCATCTTCAGAACTGTCAATACACACATACACATACACACACATACATACACACATACATACACACATACACACACACATACATACACACATACACACACATACATACACACATACACACATACACACACATACATACACACATACACACACATACATACACACATACACACACACATACATACACACATACACACACACATACATACACACATACATACACATACATACACACATACACACACATACATACACACATACACACACACATACATACACACATACACACACATACATACACACATACACACACAGATTCCATGTGGATGTGGACGCAGGTGTGTGTTTTATATATATGACATATACATAAAACACATATTTTACATTGTACATATTTTACATACACACACATGTACTGTATGTTCAGCCTCTAGGGGGCGACAGAGACGTACTGGAGTCCCGCCCACAGCTGCAGCGCTGGAGGAGCCGCGTCCAATCGGCCGTGGGCCCCGCCTTCGACCACGCCCACTCTGTCCTCTACGGCGTCCGAGACCGGTACCGAGCCAAGACCAGCCGGGCCAAGCTTTAGTCCAGAGACCGAGTCCAGACCGAGTCCAGACCGAGTCCAGACCGAGTCCAGACCGAGTCCAGACCGAGTCCAGACCGAGTCCAGACCGGATTTTTTTGATCCGCTTCTGTAAAATCACTGCACTACAAGAATTTTGATTCAGATTCTGATTTTGTCCAATCGACATCTTCAAATTAAACACACAAACACACACACAGAGAGACACACACACACACACACACAAACATTTGGGGGGCTCCAGTTTTAATGTGAAGAAAATATTTTTTTGAATCTATTTTCCTAAAATTTTATTTTATAAATAAATAATGTCATAATAATTCTGTTTCATTTTGTTCAATATACTTTGATAAAAAAAAAAAAAAAGTGTTCCTCATGCCAAAGTATTTTCCATTAATTGTATTTATTATATATTTATAATTATAATATATATATATTTTGTGTATATTGCTGGATGTAAAACACGCGCACGGAGGCGCTCGTCAACTCGCGGTGCACTGTGGGAAATGCAGTCCCGTGTCTCGTGTGTGTGACGTCATCAGCGCGCGCCTCGGTGCCGGTGAACATGTCGGTGTTTAGGACCGGACTGACCCTCGCGGCGGGAGCGGTACTCGGAGCGGGACTCAGCGCGCTCCTCAGGCCGAGCGAGGAGCGCCTCAGCCCGGACTCTGTGCTGTCCGTGTGCCCGGTGCTCCCGGTGCCCAGCGTGCCCGGCGTGCACGCGGCGGAGCTGAAGGTCAGTGCGGGGGGTGGAGGTGCGCGCATGGATAAGGATCCAGAATCAATGATCCGGCGGCGTCCGGGGACGATCACATGACATTTTAAAAACTGTTGAATTACTCACTTTGAATTTTTTAACTCTGTAAAAAATAAATAAATAAATAAGTTTACATTTAGTGTTTAAAATTCAATGTTAAAAAAAAAATTAAAAAAAATCACCTTTTAAATATTCAGCCCAAATATTTTCAAACCTCAGATTCAACAGACAAAATCCAGAGTGTAAAATCCAGAGTGTAAAATCCAGAGTGTAAAATCCAGAGTGTAAAATCCAGAGTGTAAAATCCAGAGTGTAAAATCCAGACGCCGCGGCATAAAACGTTCACTGTCCAATTTGAGGCTTGAAAATATTTGTGCCGAATATTTAAAAGTTGTTGTTTTTTTTTATTATGAATTTGAAACATATTGAAAAAGTTCACTTAAAAATTCAGCAACTACAATTCTGAATCTTTATTATTTAATTATTTTATTTGATGATTAAAAATGTTTTGTGGAGGATTTTAGAAAAGATTAATTAAAAGAAGAAAATATAATAAAGGAAAAATCGACCTGGAAACAGATTTGTAATGACTGAACCTCTGACCCCTGACCCCTGCAGGTCCCTGGCTCTGGCGCTCTGGTCCCTGGCTCCAGTCCTGGTTCCGGTCCCGGTCCTGTGGCTCTGATGAAGTACGGGTTTCCATCTCCATCGTCCATTAAGACGCGTCAGTCGTACGTGGCGGCGTACGACCCGAGGACACGCCTCCCGCTCTGGGTCCTGGAGCGACTCGACTCCGCCTCCATCAGCGGCCAATCAGATCGCAGCAAGAGCCAGTTCAGGGAGGACCCCAGGTAAGTCTAACACACCTGGATAACACACACACACACACACACACACAACACACTCCCCCTAGAGGCCGCGCCAAGTACTGCAGCTCCCTTGAGCCCAGAAACAACCTGACCTCTGACCCCAGACCTATGTGTGTGTGTGTGTGTGTGTGTGTGTGTGTGTGTGTGTGTGTGTGTAGGGGTGTATGTGTGTGTATGTGTGTACGTGTGTGTGTACGTGTGTGTGTATGTAAATGTGTGTATGTATGTATGCGTATGTATGTATGTGTATGTATGTGTGTATGTATGTGAGTGTGTATGTGTATGTATGTATGTGTATGTATGTATGTGTGTGTGTATGTGTATGTATGTATGTGTATGTATGTGTGTATGTATGTGTATGTATGTATGTATGTATGTATGTATGTATGTGTATGTATGTATGTGTGTGAGTGTGTGTGTATGTGTGTGAGTGTGTATGTATGTATGTGTATGTATGTGTATGTATGTATGTATGTATGTATGTATGTATGTATGTATGTATGTGTATGTATGTATGTGTGTGAGTGTGTGTGTATGTGTGTGAGTGTGTATGTATGTATGTGTATGTATGTGTATGTATGTATGTATGTATGTATGTATGTGTATGTATGTATGTATGTGTATGTATGTATGTGTATGTATGTGTGTATGTATGTATGTATGTATGTATGTATGTATGTATGTATGTGTATGTATGTATGTGTGTGAGTGTGTGTGTATGTGTGTGAGTGTGTATGTATGTATGTGTATGTATGTGTATGTATGTATGTATGTGTATGTATGTATGTGTGTGAGTGTGTGAGTCTCTGTTCTTCTAGTTTCGCTCTAAATCCAAACTGTGATTTTTATTTGTGAAACGTGGAGCAAAACTTCAGATTCAGGATTTTTATGAAATGATCAAAGTTTGGAAATAAAGTGTCGGAGAAGTGGAGTCAGTGTGGAGAATCTGCAGCTTCAGGTTCAGCTTCAGGTTCAGCTTCAGGTTCAGCTTCAGGTTCAGCTTCAGTTCAGCTTCAGCTTCAGGTTCAGCTTCAGGTTCAGGTTCAGGTTCAGCTTCAGCTTCAGGTTCAGGTTCAGCTTCAGGTTCAGCTTCAGGTTCAGGTTCAGGTTCAGCTTCAGCTTCAGGTTCAGTTCAGCTTCAGGTTCAGCTTCAGGTTCAGGTTCAGCTTCAGGTTCAGCTTCAGGTTCAGGTTCAGGTTCAGCTTCAGCTTCAGGTTCAGCTTCAGGTTCAGCTTCAGCTTCAGGTTCAGGTTCAGGTTCAGGTTCAGTTCAGTTCAGGTTCAGCTTCAGCTTCAGGTTCAGCTTCAGGTTCAGCTTCAGGTTCAGCTTCAGGTTCAGGTTCAGGTTCAGGTTCAGGTTCAGGTTCAGGTTCAGGTTCAGGTGGATCCGTGTTCTGTGTGGATGTAACAGACACACGAGACCAAACAAACTCAACTTACTTTAAACTACGACTCAAACACTTGTTGTCTCTCGTGTCCTTTTGTCTCACGTCTCATCTCTTGTGGACGCAGCGTTCACGAGTTTCACCGAGCGACAAACGCCGACTTCAAGGGGAGTGGCTTCGACAGAGGTCACATGGCAGCAGCGGCCAATCACAAGTGGAGCCAGAGCGCCATGGACGACACCTTCCTCCTGACCAACGTCGCCCCCCAGGTCTGGTCCTGGTTTAGTCCCGGTTTAGTCTCGGTCTAGACCTGGTTTAGACCTGGTTGAGTCCCAGTTCAGTCCCGGTCTAGTCCCGGTTCAGTCCTGGTTTAGTCCCGGTTCAGTCCTGGTTCAGTCCTGGTTTAGACCTGGTTTAGACCTGGTTGAGTCCCAGTTCAGTCCCGGTCTAGTCCCGGTTCAGTCCTGGTTTAGTCCCGGTTCAGTCCCGGTTCAGTCCCGGTTCAGTCCTGGTTTAGTCCCGGTTCAGTCCTGGTTCAGTCCTGGTTGAGTCCCAGTTCAGTCCTGGTTTAGTCCCGGTTCAGTCCTGGTTTAGTCCCAGTTCAGTCCCGGTCTAGTCCCGGTTCAGTCCTGGTTTAGTCCCGGTTCAGTCCCGGTTCAGTCCTGGTTCAGTCCCGGTTTAGACCTGGTTCAGTCCTGGTTCAGTCCTGGTTTAGTCCCGGTTCAGTCCCGGTTCAGTCCCGGTTCAGTCCTGGTTTAGTCCCGGTTCAGTCCTGGTTCAGTCCTGGTTGAGTCCCAGTTCAGTCCTGGTTTAGTCCCGGTTCAGTCCTGGTTTAGTCCCAGTTCAGTCCCGGTTCAGTCCTGGTTTAGTCCCGGTTCAGTCCTGGTTCAGTCCTGGTTTAGACCTGGTTCAGTCCTGGTTCAGTCCTGGTTCAGTCCTCTGTGTGTCCAGGACCCCGACCTGAACCAGAACCTGTGGAACCGTCTGGAGCAGATGTGTCGGGCTTTGACCAAACGTCACGGCGTCGTGTTTGTGGTGACGGGGCCACTGTTCCTGCCCCGCCCCCAAAGCGACGGGCGCCTCCACGTCTCCTACCCCGTCCTCGGGCGCAACCACGTCGCCGTGCCAACACACTTCTTTAAGGTCAGACCTGGACTACTGGTTCCGCAGTGGACCAGACTGTAGGACCTAACTGGACTCTTGTTCTCATCCAGAGCTGTTGTGTCCCTCAGGTCGTGATCCTGGAGCTTCCTGATGCTCAGGGGGTGGAGCTTCGGTCTTACGTCATGCCCAACTGTCCAATCCCGGAGCAGACGCCACTGGAGCACTTCCTGGTTCCCATAGAAACGGTGGAGCGGGCGTCAGGGCTGCTCTTCGTCCAGAACATCCAGAGGGCGACGAAGAGCATCAGAACTGTGCACCACCAGAACCTCCAGAACCTCCCGAAGCTCCCTCAGATAAAAAACCACTGACACTACAGCTCCCATCATGCTCTGCTCCTCAGGACTGCCTGGAATGTTCCGCAGTGGAGCATTAAACTCCTCTATGTTCTCATTTATATTATTATTTATATTAAACATCTACGCACTGTGTTCCTCTGAGCGAGCTCGCCTCGCCACAGACCTGACCTGCAGTTCAATTCAAAAAGTTTTCCACATGATCATGAAGAAATGAAATTCTGTTTTAATTTATCTTCTGAATAAATAAAAATCAAATCAAAGTAAAAGTGGAGCATTTTTCTCTGGGCTCAGACTCACCCCAAGTGTCAGAGGAGAATTTATCAGCCTGAAGAGTCTGGAGTGTGTGTGTGTGTGTATATGTGTGTGTGTGTGTGTGTGTGTGTGTGTGTATGTGTGTGTGTGTGTGTGTGTGTGTGTGTGTGTGTGTGTGTGTGTGTGTGTGTGTGTGTGTGTGTGTGTGTGTGTATATGTGTGTGTGTGTGTGTATGTGTGTGTGTATATGTGTGTGTGTGTATATGTGTGTGTGTGTGTATATGTGTGTGTGTGTGTATATGTGTGTGTGTGTGTATATGTGTGTGTGTGTGTATATGTGTGTGTGTGTGTGTATGTGTGTGTATGTGTGTATGGTGTATGTGTGTGTGTGTGTGTGTATATGTGTGTGTATGGTGTATATGTGTGTATGGTGTATGTGTGTGTATGTGTGTATGGTGTATGTGTGTGTGTATGTGTGTGTGTGTATGTGTGTGTGTGTGTATATGTGTGTGTGTATGTGTGTGTGTGTTTGTGTGTGTGTGTGTATATGTGTGTGTGTATGTGTGTGTGTGTGTGTGTGTGTGTATGTGTGTGTGTGTGTGTATATGTGTGTGTGTATGTGTGTGTGTGTGTGTATATGTGTGTGTGTATGTGTGTGTGTGTTTGTGTGTGTGTCGGGCTCAGAGACTCAGTTGAGTCTGAAGTTGAAGTCTTGAGTCTGGAGAAGTTGGACTGAGGATCCCACAGTTTAAATCACAGAAACATCTGGAGCCACTGGAGCCGCTGGAGCCGCTGGAGCCGCTGCTGTGGCCAGTTCTGGTTCTGCTACAAACAAACCCAGAGGTCGTTTACATAAAATAAATGTTGCTTTAATAATTGAGTAAATACTTTTTTTATTCAAGTCCCTCCCCTAAAAAAACCCTCATCTTTACTCTAAGAAATCTGCTCTGTGTGTCAGGTGCCCTCTCTCCCCGTGTGTCAGGTGCCCTCTCTCCCCGTGTGTCAGGTGCCCTCTCTCCCCGTGTGTCAGGTGCCCTCTCTCCCCGTGTGTCAGGTGCCCTCCCTCCCCGTGTGTCAGGTGCCCTCCCTCCCCGTGTGTCAGGTGCCCTCTCTCCCCGTGTGTCAGGTGCCTCTCTCCCCGTGTGTCAGGTGCCCTCCCCTCCCCGTGTGTCAGGTGCCCTCCCTCCCCGTGTGTCAGTGCCCTCTCTCCCCCGTGTGTCAGGTGCCCTCTCTCCCCGTGTGTCAGGTGCCCTCTCTCCCCGTGTGTCAGGTGCCCTCCCTCCCCGTGTGTCAGGTGCCCTCCCTCCCCGTGTGTCAGGTGCCCTCCCTCCCCGTGTGTCAGGTGCCCTCCCTCCCTGTGTGAAAAATGAAATGAGCTCAGATTTTTTGTTTGATTTTGTGGTGTTTCATTAAAACTTTTTATTAAAATAGTAAAAAAAACAGGAGGGGGCGTGTCTCTTCGGGAGGGGGCGTGTCTCTTCAAGAGGGGGTGTGGCTCTTCAGGAGGGGGTGTGGCTCTTCAAGAGGGGGTGTGTCTAGTCCAATGAGGTTCATTTGGTCTTCTGATAGTTTATGTTATTAGGTTCTTTTTTTCAGACCAAGAGTTTCACAGTCACAGAAACATCATGTGACTCTGAAGAAGATTCTGAGGAAGACTCTGAAGAAGACTCTGAAGAAGACTCTGAAGAAGACTCTGAAGAAGACTCTGAGGAAGACTCTGAAGAAGACTCTGAAGAAGACTCTGAAGAAGACTCTGAGGAAGACTCTGAAGAAGAGCGCTAGTGAGCAGTCGAAACTGTCTGGTATGAAAACAACCCTTGGTCTGAAAAAGAACCTAATAACATAGGAGGTGTGGCTCAGCAGGAGGGGGCGTGGCTCTTCAGACGGGGGCGTGGCTCTTCAGGAGGAGGAGGGGCATCAGGTACAGGGGTGTGGCCATAAAAGGGCGAGGGGCGGAGTCAGTGGCGTCCTGTGAACATCCTTCAGTCTCCAGACACAACTCCTGCTCACAGAATGAACCTACGCAAACAGAGAAATAATCCACATTATAGATGAAATAATAATAATAAAGATTATAGATGAAATAATAATAATAAAGCTTATAGATGAAATAATAATAATAAAGATTATAGATGAAATAATAATAATAAAGATTATAGATGTAGTACATCTGCTACAGATAAAACTGCAGAGTTCTGACGCTTAAAAGTGACTGTGCACACAAGAGCGAGTGCGAGAGTGAACGTGTGTGTGTGTGTGTGTGTGTGTGTGTGTGTGTGTGTGTGTGTGTGTGTGTGTGTGTGTGTGTGTGTGTGTGTGTGTGTGTGGACTCTCTTAAAAAAGAGGTTTTTAATCTCAGTGGGATTTTTTTCCTTGTGAAATTAAAGTTAAATAAAAAAATAACCCTAACCCCCTAACTGCCCTCCCCGTGTGTCAGGTCCCTCCCCGTGTGTCAGGTCCCGCCCCGTGTGTCAGGTGCCTCCCCGTCTGTCAGGTGCCCTCCCCGTGTGTGTCAGGTGCCCTCCCCGTGTGTGTCAGGTGCCCTCCCCGTGTGTGTCAGGTGCCCTCCCCATGTGTCAGGTCCCTCCCCGTCTGTCAGGTGCCCTCCCCGTGTGTGTCAGGTGCCCTCCCCGTGTGTCAGGTCCCTCCCCGTGTGTCAGGTCCCTCCCCGTGTGTCAGGTCCCTCCCCGTGTGTGTCAGGTCCCTCTCTCACCGGTGTAGTTGGAGGGGCAGGAGCAGGATGTGAAGTCCACACAGGTTCCTCCGTTCTGACACTGGAGCAGATCCTCGTCACAAACGTTTTCTAAAATAAAGAAATGAAATAAAACAAAAGTTTAAATCTGGACCTGTCAATCAAACTTCGCCCCCCCCCACCTGCCCCTCACCTGCCCCCCACCTGCCCTCACCTGCCCCCCCCCCACCTGCCCCTCACCTGCCCCCCCCACCTGCCCCTCACCTGCCCCTCACCTGCCCCCCCCACCTGCCCCTCACCTGTACAGCCGCTCTCTCTCCGGTTGTATCCGCGTTCACACAAGTCGCAGCGCCTCCCGGTGGCTCCGCCTTTACAGGGACACGCCCCCGACTCGGCGCAGACGGAGCTGAGGGCCCCCAGGGGGTCACAGAGGCATTCTGGGAAAAAACATACATGAGCAACAGGGGCGCGGGGGTCGTGTGTCGTGTCGTGTTACCTGTACAGGCCAGTGCGTTGCTCAGGGGCACGGAGGCGTTGCGGTAGAAGCCCGGGCGGCACAGGTGGCACTGGCGCCCCCTGGTGTTGTGTTTGCAGCTCACACACGTCACCACCTCCAGGAAGTCGATGAAACTGCAGCGGTTTGAGTGATCATTACACTCGCACGCTGAAGGACACGAGGAGACGAGGGGACGAGGACACGAGGGGACGAGGACACGAGGGGACGAGGAGGAGGGGAGACGAGGAGGAGAGGAAGTGAGGAGACGAGGATATGAGGAGACGAGAGAGAGAGAGTTGTTATAACAAACACCATTCACCTCAATTTTCCCTAAAACATCAAATAAGTCTGAGCTCTTCTAGACTCTGAGCTCCTCTAGACTCTGAGCTCCTCTAGACTCTGAGCTCCTCTAGAGTCTGAGCTCCTCTAGAGTCTGAGCTCCTCTAGACTCTGAGCTCCTCTAGACTCTGAGCTCCTCTAGACTCTGAGCTCCTCTAGACTCTGAGCTCCTCTAGAGTCTGAACTCTCATCAGAGGAGGAACAGGCTCTATAGGGGAAAGACGCCTGAAGCCTTTGGGTTCAGTAGGAGGTCAGATGTTCAGCAGGTCAGAGGTGGTGGGTCAGAGGTCAGAGGTCAGAGGTGGTGGGTCAGAGGTCAGAGGTCAGAGGTGTTGGGTCAGAGGTCAGAGGTCAGAGGTGGTGGGTCAGAGGTCAGAGGTCAGAGGTCAGGGTCAGGTCAGAGGTGGTGGGTCAGAGGTCAGAGGTCAGAGGTGGGTCAGAGGTCAGAGGTGGTGGGTCAGAGGTCAGAGGTCAGAGGTGTTGGGTCAGAGGTCAGAGGTGGTGCTTGTACCTGTGAAGGAGACGTAGGCGAGCTTGGACAGAGCGCTGCTGGAGCCTGGGATCAGGATCTTCTGAGTCACTGAGGAAAACAAACAGATGAAGCTCAGGTCCCAGGATGAGGCCCAAGGTCTGCAGATGTGACCTCAACACAAACCTTTCCTCTCATACTTCTCCTCCTTCTTCTCCTCCTTCTCCTCCTTCTCCTCCTTCTTCTCCTCCTTCTTCTCCTTCTTCTCCTCTTCTCCTCCTTCTTCCTCCTTCTTCTCCTCCTTCTCCTCCTTCTTCTCCTCCTTCTTCTCCTCCTTCTTCTCCTTCTTCTCCTCCTTCTCCTTCTTCTCCTCCTTCTCCTCCTTCCTCTCCTCAGTCCTTCCCTCTTTTCCTTCCTTTGTTTCCTCGGTTCCTTCCTCCCTTGTCTCTTTCTTTGGTTCTTTTTTACTTTCTTCTTTCCTCTCCTCCTTTTTCTCCTCTCTCCCTTCTTCCTCTCCTCCTCGTCTGGTTTCCTTCTTTGCCTCCTCCTTTGTCTCCACTTTCGTCTCCTTCTTTGTCTCCTCCTTCCTCGTCTCCTTTGTCATATCTTTTGGTTCTTTTTTCTCTTCCTTCCTCTCAGGTCTGGTCTCAGGTCTGGTCTCAGGTCTGGTCTCTGGTCTGGTCTCAGGTCTGGTCTCAGGTCTGGTCTCAGGTCTGGTCTCAGGTCTGGTCTCAGGTCTCAGGTCTGGTCTCAGGTCTGGTCTCTGGTCTGGTCTCAGGTCTGGTCTCAGGTCTGGTCTCAGGTCTGGTCTCAGGTCTGGTCTCAGGTCTGGTCTCAGGTCTGGTCTCAGGTCTGGTCTCAGGTCTGGTCTCAGGTCTGGTCTCTGGTCTGGTCTCAGGTCTGGTCTCAGGTCTGGTCTCAGGTCTGGTCTCAGGTCTGGTCTCAGGTCTGGTCTCAGGTCTGGTTTCAGGTCTGGTCTCAGGTCCGGTCTGGTCCGGTCTCAGGTCTGGTCTCAGGTCTGGTCTCAGGTCTGGTCTCTGGTCTGGTCTCTGGTCCCTCATCAGGGGAGGGGAAGGAGAAGTCGACTGGAGCGTAGTCCCTCTCAGACCCTCCAGAATCTGGTTTGGGTCTTGGTTGTGGTTGTGGTTCTGGTTGTGGTTGTGGTTCTGGTGCTGGTTCTGGTCCTGGCTGTTGTCCTGGTTCTGGTCTTGGTTCTGTTGGACACAGAGTTGAAGCAGAGACAGTTTGATCACATTGTTCTTTACCATGAAATCTCCAAAAAGTAAATTCACAAATGTTGCTTTTGCTCCTGGTCTGGTTCTGGTCTAGTTCTGGTCTGGTTCTGGTCTAGTCCTGGTCTAGTTTTGGTCTGGTCCTGGTTCTTTACCTTCAGCTCTCTCAGGAGGCAGCACCAGCGCAGGGTCTGTATCTGGACTTTCAAGGGTCTCAGGAAAACTTGGGTCTGGGACCAGGTCTGGGACTGGTTTAGGGTCTGGGACCAGGTCTGGGTCTGGTTTAGGGTCTGGGGTCTGGAGGGAGGGACCCCCTACTGGAGGCTCAGAGGACTCTGTGGTCTGAAGGTCCACAGAAGAAACATCAGAGGCAGGATCTGAGGACTCAGGTCCAGTCTCTGACCCAGTCTCAGGTTTAATCTCTGGTCCAGTTTCTGGTCCAGTCTCTGGTCCGGTCTCTGGTCCGGTTTCTGGTCCAGTCTCTGGTCCAGTCTCTGGTCTGGTTTCTAGTCCAATCTCTAGTCCAGTGTCTGGTCCAGTTTCTGGTCCAGTTTCTGGTCCGGTTTCTGGTCCAGTTTCTGGTCCAGTCTCTGGTCCATTTTCTGGTCCGGTCTCTGGTCCAGTTTCTGGTCCGGTTTCTGGTCCATTTTCTGGTCCGGTCTCTGGTCCAGTTTCTGGTCCGGTTTCTGGTCCAGTTTCTGGTCCAGTCTCTGGCCCATTTTCTGGTCCGGTCTCTGGTCCGGTCCCTGGTCCGGTTTCTGGTCCGGTTTCTGGTCTGGTTTCCGGTCTGGTTTCTGGTCTGGTTTCCGGTCTGGTTTCTGGTCTGGTTTCTGGTCTGGTTTCCGGTCTGGTTTCTGGTCTGGTTTCTGGTCTGGTTTCTGGTCCGGTCTCAGATAGTCCCGGGTTTGGATCGGACAGTTCTACACGAGACTCAGGTTCAGGTGAGACTGGAGACGTCCCCTGAGACTCAGAGGGACCTGGACCTGGACCAGGACCAGGGTCTAGACCTGGACTAGGACTGGGGTCTGTTGGGGGAGGGTCCTCAGACAAAGGGACTAAAACTGTGTAAGACTCTGAAACGGAAAAGCCAGGATCAACAGGATCTAAACCAGACTCAGAGGGGTCTAAAGATGGACCAGGACCAGGGCCGATCCAGACCGGGTCAGAGAGGGCGGGGTCAGAGAAGGAGGGGGCGGGGTCAGAGGATGAGGGGGTGGGGTCAGAGGAGGAAGGGGCGGTGTCAGAGAAGGAGGGGGCGGGGTCAGACGAGGAGGGGGCGGGGTCAGAGGATGAGGGGGTGGGGTCAGAGAAGGAGGGGGCGGGGTCTGGAGACTCTTTGCTCAAATCGTCAGGAGGGGGCGCTGAGTCAAAATCTGTGGAAAAATAAAAACATTTGAGTCCAGAGTCTAGACCAGGACCAGGGTCTGGACCAGGACCAGGTGTGGACCGGGTCTGGGACCAGAGGGTTTGGGCAGGGGGTCTGGAGGGACCAGATCAGGACCAGATCTAGACTAGAGGTTTTAGCAGAACCTGACCTGAATCAGAAGAGTCTGGTTTGGATCCTGCAGGTGGCGTCTGTGAGTCAGAGGGGGCGGGGCCTGTAGTCTCACCTGAAAAAAACATGAGAAGTTTGTCCTGTACGCAGCCCCTCCCCCTGTACACAGTCCCTCCCCCTGTTATGGGACATTAAAGAGCACGTACCCTCAGGCTCCTCTGCAGCTTCACCTGAAACACAGTCGGGTCGTTAGCTCAGGTCAGTAACAGTCAGAGAATTTGATTTAGGGTTTAGGGTTCTGAAGGTTCTGAAAGTTCTGAAGGTTCTGAAGGTTCTGAGGGTTCTGAAAGTTCTGAAGGTTCTGAAGGTTCTGAAGGTTCTGAAAGTTCTGAAGGTTCTGAAGGTTCTGAGGGTTCTGAAGGTTCTGAAGGTTCTGAAAGTTCTGAAGGTTCTGGGGTTTCTGAAGGTTCTGAAAGTTCTGAAGGTTCTGAAGGTTCTGAAAGCTCTGAAGGTTCTGAAGGTTCTGAAAGTTCTGAAGGTTCTGGGGGTTCTGAAGTTTCTGAAGGTTCTGAAGGTTCTGGGGTTTCTGAAGGTTCTGAAAGTTCTGAAGGTTCTGAAGGTTCTGAGGGTTCTAAAAGTTCTGAAGGTTCTGGGGGTTCTGAAGGTTCTGAAAGTTCTGGGGGTCTCACAGATGTTGGCGGTCCCCTGTGGCAGTGGCAGGTACGTCCCTGCCCTCCACTCCCGGCGGGTGAAGCCCTGTCGGCAGCGCTCACAGTCTGCACCTGTTGTGAAGTGGTCACAGTCGCAGACGAGAGTCGAGTCCCGGAGCGAACAGGAGGAGGCATGCAGGTTACACCTGCACCTGACAGGGACAGACAGGGACAGACAGGTGAACAGACCAAACTTACACCTGACAGGGACTGACAGGGACAGAAAGGTGAACAGACCAGACTCACACCTGACAGGGACTGACAGGGACTGACAGGTGAACAGACCAAACTTACACCTGACAGGGACAGACAGGGACAGACAGGTGAACAGACCAAACTTACACCTGACAGGGACAGACAGGGACAGACAGGTGAACAGACCAGACTTACACCTGACAGGGACTGACAGGGACAGAAAGGTGAACAGACCAGACTCACACCTGACAGGGACTGACAGGGACTGACAGGTGAACAGACCAAACTTACACCTGACAGGGACAGACAGGGACAGACAGGTGAACAGACCAAACTTACACCTGACAGGGACTGACAGGGACAGACAGGTGAACAGACCAGACTCACACCTGACAGGGACTGACAGGGACAGACAGGTGAACAGACCAGACTTACACCTGACAGGGACTGACAGGGACTGACAGGGACACAGTAACACAGCAGGGTTCACAGCAAAGTTCAGTCATGATAAAAACTGAAGGACTTTACATATTGTCAGGAGGTACTCCCTTTGGGTAATATAGTTACTCTTTAGTTACTCTTTCCTGGCAGGCACCTGTCTCACCTGGCAGGCACCTGTCTCACCTGGCAGGCACCTGTCTCACCTGGCAGGTACCTGTCTCACCTGGCACACCTGTCTCACCTGGCAGGCACTCACCTGGCGGGCACCTGCACATTGCTGATGGCGTAGTAGTACATGAGCAGTCGGTCTTTCTGGACGTAGGTTCCTCCGAGCGCCGGACGCAGCAGACGGAGCCTCAGGTCAGTGAAGCTGAAGAAGTCCCTGAGTCCGGGACTCGAGTCCAGTCTGGTCCACAACGAGTCCATGTTCAGGAGCTTTGGACCCGCCAAGACCGAGAGACGAGACCGAACCTCAAAGACCACCTGCTTCTCCTCCTGAAGACCAGAGAGACCAGAGTTAGACCAGAGAGACCAGAGTTAGACCAGAGAGACCGGAGTTAGACCGGAGTTAGACCAGAGAGATCGGAGTTAGACCAGAGTTAGACCAGAGAGACCAGAGTTAGACCAGAGTTAGACCAGAGAGACCGGAGTTAGACCAGAGTTAGACCAGAGAGACCAGAGTTAGACCAGAGTTAGACCAGAGAGACCAGAGTTAGACCAGAGTTAGACCAGAGTTAGACCGGAGTTAGACCGGAGTTAGACCAGAGTTAGACCGGAGTTAGACCAGAGTTAGACCAGAGAGACCAGAATTAGACCAGAGTTAGACCAGAGTTAGACCAGAGAGACCAGAGTTAGACCAGAGAGACCAGAGTTAGACCGGAGTTAGACCAGAGTTAGACCAGACAGACCAGAGTTAGACCAGAGTTAGACCAGAGAGACCAGAGTTAGACCAGAGTTAGACCGGAGTTAGACCAGAGAGACCAGAGTTAGACCAGAGTTAGACCAGAGAGACCAGAGTTAGACCAGAGTTAGACCAGAGAGACCAGAGTTAGACCAGAGTTAGACCAGAGAGACCAGAGTTAGACCAGAGAGACCAGAGTTAGACCAGAGTTAGACCGGAGTTAGACCAGAGAGACCGGAGTTAGACCAGAGTTAGACCAGAGTTAGACCAGAGTTAGACCAGAGAGACCAGAGTTAGACCAGAGTTAGACCGGAGTTAGACCAGAGTTAGACCAGAGTTAGACCAGAGTTAGACCAGAGAGACCAGAGTTAGACCAGAGTTAGACCGGAGTTAGACCAGAGTTAGACCAGAGAGACCAGAATTAGACCAGAGTTAGACCAGAGAGACCAGAGTTAGACCAGAGTTAGACCAGAGTTAGACCGGAGTTAGACCGGAGTTTGACCAGAGTTAGACCAGAGTTAGACCAGAGTTAGACCGGAGTTAGACCAGAGTTAGACCAGAGAGACCAGAATTAGACCAGAGTTAGACCAGAGTTAGACCAGAGTTAGACCAGAGAGACCAGAGTTAGACCAGAGTTAGACCAGAGAGACCGGAGTTAGACCGGAGTTAGACCAGAGAGACAGGAGTTAGACCAGAGTTAGACCAGAGAGACCGGAGTTTGACCAGAGTTAGACCAGAGTTAGACCAGAGTTAGACCGGAGTTAGACCAGAGTTAGACCAGAGAGACCAGAATTAGACCAGAGTTAGACCAGAGTTAGACCAGAGAGACCAGAGTTAGACCAGAGTTAGACCAGAGAGACCGGAGTTAGACCGGAGTTAGACCAGAGAGACAGGAGTTAGACCAGAGTTAGACCAGAGAGACCGGAGTTAGACCAGAGTTAGACCAGAGTTAGACCAGAGTGTCCAAGACTCTCGGCTGGAGGTCACATGACACGACGACAAAGTGGATCATGAATCTCCAGCCGATGGACCTGCTGAACATGGTGTTGGTTCTGTACAAACTGTGACTCACACAACAGAACCACAAAACCACAGAACAACAGAACCACAAAACCACAGAACCACAAAACCACAGAACCACAGAACCACAGAACCACAAAACCACAAACCACAGAACCACAGAACCACAGAACCACAGAACCACAAAACCACAAACCACAAAACCACAGAACCACAGAACCACAGAACCACAGAACACAAAAACACAAACCACAAAACCACAAACCACAAAACCACAAAACCACAGAACACACAGAACACAGAAACCACAGAACCACAGAACCACAGAACCACAGAACCAACAAACCACAGAACCACAGAACCACAGAAACCACAGAACCACAGAACCACAAGAACCACAAAACCACAAAACCACAGAACCACAGAACCACAAAACCACAGAACCACAGAACCACAGAACCACAAAACAACAGAACAACAGAACCACAGAACCACAAAACCACAAAACCACAAAACCACAGAACCACAGAACCACAGAACCACAGAACCACAGAACCACAAAACAACAGAACAACAGAACCACAGAACCACAAAACCACAAAACCACAAAACCACAAAACCACAGAACCACAGAACCACAAAACAACAGAACAACAGAACCACAAAACCACAGAACCACAAAACCACAGAACCACAGAACAACAGAACCACAGAACAACAGAACCACGGAACAACAGAACCACAAAACAACAGAACAACAGAACCACAAAACCACAGAACCACAAAACCACAGAACCACAGAACCACAAAACCACAAAACCACAGAACAACAGAACCACGGAACAACAGAACCACAAAACAACAGAACAACAGAACCACAGAACCACAAAACAACGGAACCACAGAACCACAGAACCACAAAACCACAGAAACCACAGAACCACAGAACAACAGAACCACAGAACCACAGAACCACAAAACCACAAAACCACAGAACCACAGAACCACAGAACACCACTCAGGTTCCACTTGTGTCCTCACTTATCCTCTCAGATGCTTCCTTGTGTCCTTACCTTGGCTCCTACCCACTGCGAGTACTCCTCGGTGCAGATGACCCGAGTCAGGTTTGAAGGTGAAAGGTCAGACACTTTTTTTGGAAACATCCCAAAAGTTTCCAAACAGTCGTCGGCGTAAAACTGGTACGGCTGCCACGTCTGCCCTGGGGCAGAAAAAGAGAGGAATGTGAAATACAGAAGTAACAACGACGGGACTAAACCGGGATGAACCTGGGTCTTACCTCGGTCCAGGGACTTGTCCAGGACCAGGGCGGAGGGGCGTCCGGACTCGAAGGTCACGATGATGTCGTCGGTGGTCTCCAGAGTCTTGTTCCAGGACAGAGTGACGTTGGCCAATAGTGGCTCAGGAAAACGAGACCATGTGACCGTCTGCCAATAGGTGACGAGCCCGCCCCTTTCCCGATCGCCCATCAGCTGAGGGGGGTGAGAGAGGTCGGGACTCGAGGCGTCGCATTCGTCACTGCACAAGTACGGGTTCTCCTGAAAACACACACACCGAGTCTAAACCGGGTCTAAACCGGGTCTGAACCGGGTCTGAACCGGGTCTGAACCGGGTCTGAACCGGGTCTGAACCAGGTCTAAACCAGGTCTAAACCAGGTCTAAACCGGGTCTAAACCAGGTCTAAACCAGGTCTGAACCAGGTCTGAACCAGTCCCTCGGATGAGATCCACAAAGGTTTTAATTTAAATGACCTAAGGCCCTGACGTCTCCTGGACTGAGCTCATCCTCTGATGGACAGGAGCGTCTGACAGGAGCGTCTGACAGGAGCGTCTGACAGGAGCGTCTGACAGGAGCGTCTGACAGGAGCGTCTGACAGGGGCACGTATTATCTGTTACATAAGGGTGAGTTGTACAGGTGTAGGGAGTATTATATCCCACTCTGACCTCTCTCCCTCTGACCTGGTTTAGTCCTGCTCTAGTCCTGCTTTAGTCCTGCTCTAGTCCTGGTCTAGTCCTGGTCTAGTCCTGGTCTGGGTCTGTACCAGGCTGCAGAACTTCTCAGGTGGGTCTCCACAGGTGACTCCTGCAGGTTCCACTCGGATTTTCATCAGGTCCTTCATGTCGCGGCTCTGAGGCTCACAGGGTCCAAACTGAGTCCAAGGACCGGATTCTGAGGACCGAACCAGACTGCACCACGAGAACGGACCTGAAGACGACCAGAGGGTTAGACCTGAGTTAAACCTGGGTTAGTCCTGGGTTAGACCTGGGTTAGTCTTGGGTGAGTCCTGAATTAGTCCTGTTTTAGTCCTGGTTCAGTCTTGGTGTAGTCCTGGTTTAGTCCTGGTTTAGTCCTGGGTTAGTCCTGGTTTAGATCGGCTGTAGTCCGGGTTTAGACGGGGTTTTGGACTCACTTGAGTTTTGGGCGGAGCCTGGTGGAAAGGGGAGGAGCCAGAGGGGGAGGGGCCAGAGCCAGAGGGGGAGGGGCCAGAGCATGGTGACGTCATAGGTTGGGGGCCAATAGGAGCGTGGCAGAGAGGCACATGACCCGGTCCCAGGTCACAGGTCCCAGGTCAGTCCTGATGGTTCTGAAACACAAACAGACACTCAGAGACTCTGTGCCTTTGGGCAGGACACCTCCTCCTCCTGCAGCTACGAGGTCTCAGGTTCTACTGACGCTGTGGAGGCGCTCTGAAAGGTCCAAAATCACAAAACGAGAACCTCAGATCTAACCCTAAAACAGAACCAAACAGAACCAAACAGAACCGAACAGAACCAGACAGAACCAAACAGAACCAAACAGAACCAGACAGAACCAAGCAGAACCAGACAGAACCAAACAGAACCAGACAGAACCAGACAGAACCAAACAGAACCAAACAGAACCAAACAGAACCAGAACCAGACAGAACCAAACAGAACCAAACAGAACCAAACAGAACCAGACAGAACCAAACAGAACCAAACAGAACCAGACAGAACCAGACAGAACCAAACAGAACCAAACAGAACCAGACAGAACCAAACAGAACCAAACAGAACCAGACAGAACCGAACAGAACCGAACAGAACCAAACAGAACCAAGCAGAACCAGACAGAACCAAACAGAACCAAACAGAACCAGACAGACACTCACACACAAACACACACACACACACACACACACACAACTTTCACACTCAGTCATGTGGGGGAAGTGTCTTGCTTAAGGACACAACCATAGTTTTTGCTCTGGTGCCTACTGTGGATCCTAATGTTCCAAAGTCTCCAGACCCAGACCAGACCCAGACCAGGTCCAGACCAGGTCCAGACCAGGTCCAGACCAGACCCAGACCAGGTCCAGACCAGGTCCAGACCAGGTCCAGACCAGGTCCAGACCAGGTCCTGAGGAGGTTTGGTTTTCGTGGTGAGTCTCTGTGGTTCAAACTGAGACTGTGGAACGTTCAGGAGGAAGCGTCTCGTCTGGACGTGTTGCACCGGTGGATCTTCTCACAGCTTCACGCTGGAGCCTGAGGGCCACAGTCTGGACACTTGATTTAAATGAAGTTTATAAAGTGCACTCACCTTCAGTGTCCTTCTCGTCTCCTTGTCTCCTCGTGTCCTCTCTCCTTGGTCTCTTCTGTCCTTCGTGTCTCGCTCAGGTGCTGCTTTGGCCATTGGAGTTTAAAGTTTCCTCTCCTTGTCTCCTTGTGTCCTTGCCTCCTTTTCTCCTCCTCTCCTTGCCTCCTTGTCTCCTCGTCTTATT